AGGACCAGTCCCTGGAGAAGGACATCATACTTGATAAAATGGAGGGTCAGTAAATTAAAAGGAAGACCTTCAATGTGGCTACAGCAATGGACTTTAACAGGACAATGATTTTGAGGATGATGCAGGAGTCGTTTCCTTCTGTTGTGCACAGGATCAGTATGAGTCAGAACCAGCTGCACAGCATCTAACAACAACAATCTTTATGGGAGCAGATCACAGGAACTTTTCTCCTTGAGTCACGGGTGTGTTCAAACTGCCAACCTTACATTTAGTAGCCAAGTGCTTAGCTGTTGCCACCAGGGCTTCTAACACAAACACACACAGTACATGATCAGGCTTCACCCACATCACTGCAACAAGACTCTGCCCGTGGAGGGTGGACAAAAGTGTCCTTTAAGCCCACAGATAATTCTGATGTACAGCCAGCTGGTAGCGTAGTGGTTATGAATCAGGCTGTGAACCTTAAGGTCAGCGGTTTGAAACTACCAGCCGCTCCACGGGAGAAAGATGAGGCTTTCTACTCCTGTAAAGATTTACACCCTTGGAAACCCTGTACAGAGTCGCTATGGGTTGGAACCAACTCGATGGCACGTAACAACAACAGCCAGGTTTTACAGCCCACTCTGAGCTCACAGAGAAGAGGAGGGAAAGGACTGGAAGGAGTTGGGAGGCTCTGTGAGAGAGATGATGAAGGAAAAGGTTAGGTAGTCACAGCGGGGATGGAGTGGGGGACAAGAGTGATTGGTATACCAAGCTGTTCTCCTAGCCCACTACCATTGTGCCAATTCTGACTCACAGTGCCCCTAGAGGACCAAGCAGAATGGTTGCTTAGAGTTGCTGAGGCTCTAAATCTTTACGGGAGCAGAGAGTTTCGTTTTTCTTCCACAGAGCAGATGTTAGGTTTGAACTGCTGACTTGCTGTTAGCAGCCCAAAGCAGAGATCGCCAGACCTTTCTTCCTAGTCTTAGTCTGAAAACTCTGCTGAGCCCTATTATAGCAACACAAAAGCCTCCACTGACCAATGGGAGTTGGCTGTGCAAGAAGTATATTGTCCAGGAATCGAACCCAGGTCTCCCTTATGGATGGAGAGTGGAGAGTAGCTGAGAGCAGGGGAGTGGCTGAGATTCCTGCCTCCCCTTCCAGAAGGTGTAGAAAAAGAAGAACAGAGGCTGGAGAAGACACCTTGAGGAAGAGCAACATCTACAGGGTGGACAGAATGAGAGGAACTCATTTGTGAGGAAGCCACGCAAACCAACAAGTTAAAAAACCGTGTGATCCAGTTTCTGTTAAACCTGCAGCAGGGCCTCACTAAATCATAAAGTGCTGTGAAATGAGGTTACTGACACAGAAGATGAAACGATGCGTACCTCGAGTTCCATAAAAGCGAAATGAAACCAGAATCAAGAAAAGAGTTTACTGACTGATCCTTGGTTTGTTAATGAGAGGGCTGGCTTTCCAAATCTCCTCATTTGCTACATGCTGCTGGTGAATGAATAGATTTCTCAACAAAAGGACATTTAAATCAACATATGACACCTGCTTCAATTCTCAAGAAACCATTAATTACACATTCTTAAGAAAATGAAGGACGACACAACTCTCCTAACTATATAATCCCTGCCTGCAAATCTTAATCATAAGGCTTCTCAGCTGCAAGATAGATCTTTTCTATTCATCTTCTCTGGTTCTGACCAATTAAACTTTTTCTTTCAAAATCATAACATTTCATATGTCAGATCTTCAGAAGAAAAGGATCTTGTTAGCAACGTACCATTTCTCATTGCTAATGTATGCCAAATGAAATTTCTTAAAAGTATAATATAGATAGGGCATTATTAACACATGCAGGCTTAGCACCAAGACAATGAACATCGCATTTGGTGGCTTGGTTCTGAAGGAATATTTTTTCAGAATCATGGCTTTTTGTTTGTTTGTTTTTAAAAAAACAACTTTTGATTAATTCATAAATCAGTTCCTGTCAAACTGAGATCAACTTTGACACATACGGACTATTTCACACACAGGAGAGAATTGAAATGCACAAATGGCAAGGGTATGTGCATTTATTCAGAAAGAATCCTGATTTTCTAAAGGCAGGTTTTGCTGTTTTACAGCTTGACTTGTGTTCAGCATTCACTGGCAGCATGCATCTTGGAGTAATTTATTTCCTAACTGGACAGTGGTCAGCGTTCTTTTCCTTTCCAGAAGCCATCCGCCCCCAATCATCAAAGGACATGTTTTCTGCACTGCTGATTTCTAAGTGCCATCCAGAAGCAGAACACAAGAGTAACAGTGGCCTGGTGCCCAGCTAGCCACTCAGTCTGAGATTCAATCGTTCTGACCTCACCAAGCCTCCTGTGACCCTGCCTGGCTCACCAAACATAAACAGAGAAAATGAAGAGTTTAAGGTATAGATGCGAGCCAAATCCACCACATTCATTCATTTACACAGTGTTTATTGCTGTTAAAATCCAGCCATCCCATCCATTTACAGATTGTCTATGCAGAGTTGAAGAGTTATGACAAAAACCTGTAATATTTACTATCTGTCCTTTTACAGAAATAAAAATAAATGCTGATCCTTCGTACAGACATGACACTTCTCAACCATGCTATGACCATCAACGTCCAGGCAGTCCCTGACATAGAACCTATTCGAGTTAGGCTTCATCTGTCATAACTTATCACTGACTGTTTTGGGGCTTTCAGTTTTTGGATACATCTTATCATTACTAATAGGTAGTATATACTATGACACAGCACAAAGTTATCATTTTCAGATGTCCACTGTCATGATTTCTAAAGATGTTGCTGTTCTTCGGGGTCCTTGTATCTGTTCATACTCAACAACCCCATGCACAACAGAATGAAACAATGGACCACTCGCATAATCATTGCTACATTTGGGCCCATTGCTACAGCCACTCAGTCAATCCATCTTGGTTTTGCTGACTCACTACTACTTTTCCAATCATGGAAGCAGCAGTCAAGAAATCAAACGGCATATTGCGCGAGGCAAATCTGCTACTCCAGACCTCTTTAAAGTGTTGAAGAGCAAAGATGTCAGTATGAGGATTAAAGTGTGTCTGGCTCAAGCCATGGTATTTTCAATCCCATCCTATGCATGCAAAAGCTGGACAGTGAATAAGGAAGACTGTAGAAGAATCAATGCATTTGAGTTATGGTGTTGGACTTCCAAAAGAACAAACAGATCTATGTTGGAAGAAGTACAGCCAGATGCTCCTTAGAAGTCAAGAGGGTCAGACTTCACCTCTCATACTTCGGGCATATTATTAGGAGGGACCAGTTTCTAGAGAATTATATCATGCTTGATAAAGTAGAGGGTCAGTGACAAAGAAGAGGACCCCCCGAAGACATGCCTGGACACAGTGACAGCAGCAATGGGCTCAAGCTTAACAACAATTGGGAAGTTGGCACAGGATCAGGCAGTGTTTCATTCTCTTGTGCATTAGGTCATTCTAGAACTACCTAGACAGCACCTAACAACAACAACTGGTCAATTGTTGGGAAAAAAATAGCTGCAAATATATTCATGCATATGGTGGAGCATACAGGGAACAAGATTATGAAAACATCTTTGTTGTTGTTAAGTGCCGTTGAGGCAGTTCTGACTCATAGCGACCCCGTATAGGATCCCTAAGGGTTTGAAAGGCTTATCTGACAGTGCCACACCAGGAATTCATGAAAACATCTTAGACATAACAAACACCTTGAAGGAATGAGTTGCTGGGCCTGAGTGTCACCAAGCTCATAACATAATCTACAAAGAAATTCTACAGCCTACTTTGGTGAGTAGCAACTGGGGTCTTAAGCATTCATGAATAGCCCCATCTAAGGTGTAACTACTAATCTCTCCCTGCCTGGAGGAAAGAAGAGTGAAGAAAATCAAAGACACATAAACAATGAATGCAATGGACTGATGAACCATGTGACCATCAGTCTTCAAGACCCAGAGACCAAAAGAACTAGATTGTGCCCAGCTATCACTACTAACTTTTCTGAAAGGAATCACATTAGAAGGTCCAGGATAGAGTGGGAGAAAAAGGTGGAACAAAACTCAGAATCATAACAAAAGACCAAGCTCATTGGTCAGAGACTGGTGGATCCCCTAAGAATAAGGCTCTTAGTCACACTTCAGGTCTGGAAAGGTCACCCCACGACTCAGTCTTCAGCCAAACAATAGACGGGTCTATAAGGGGAACAAGAACACTAGGTAGGTAGATACAGACACCTTAGAAAAGACAACCATTTGAGACACAAAGGCAGCATTTATCCAAGGACCAAGATCAGAATTAGGAAAGAAGGAGGAATATAAATAGTGATGTTACATTGTGGGGATCTCAATCAATGCAATAAACCCAAATGTGTATGAATTGTTAACTGGAAAACCCATCTGCTCTGCAGACCTTCACCCAATTCACAATAAAAAGTTTAAAAAAGGAAACTCCACGGCAGTAGCCAATCATCTTATTGGAATCTTCAAATATCCCATGTTGTCAGCCATGTGGGAGCTCTAGGTTTTCAAAGTTCATGCTATGGGGCCGATGTCTCATAAGGCACCAGCAGAAAGTATGCAGCTTGCATAGCCCCTCATGACTTACTATATATTGAGAGAAGTCATTCGTTTACTGCTCCCACTGGACACAATCCCACACTAACATCTCGAGACTCCATCATCTCACAACTGGAATAAAGACAAATGTTGCAAAATCAAAGGATGCTCAGGGTTCGAATCTACCCTTTGTATACCAGAACTTCCATTCATGTAGAGGTTTTCACATATGGATATAGAGCCATACCTACATTTGGCTCAAGAACATGGGAAATATCAATGGGGAAGTGAAAGAATACTTTTCTCTCCATTCGATTTTGTGCATCCTCTGAAGGCCAAGGAATCAATCAGCCACGGGTGCAAACACTTTACAGAATTGTCCAAGAAACCCCCGCCATCACCATTTCCGCCCGTTTTGTTCTCATACCTGGTCTCCTTGAAGTGTATGCTGGTCAAGGGGGGTCTTCATGGCAATGTTGCTGTAGTAAGCATAGGACAGCTCCCAGTCTAGGGGGTAGTCGTCAATGCCCTGGTAGTGTTTGTACCCAAGATTCATTGAAGACAACCTCTCACTGCCCTGCCCTCCAACCAAGCTATACAACATGCCCTGTTAGGAAGAAATTGACCAAAAGTTCAAAAGATTGCACATACTAAAATCAAAATCCCAACCCATTATCACCGAGTTGATTTCATCTCATAGTGACCCCATCTGTATAGGGTTCCCAAGGTTTTAAATCTTTACTGGAGCAGAAAGCCTCACCTTTCTCCTGTGAAACCACTGATGGGTTTGGATTGACGACCTTGTGGTTAGGAATCCAGTGCTTATTTAACAGCGTCACCAAGATTCCTTAGATTGTAAATAAGGACCATAAAACCCTAACACTGAAAGGCCATCTGGTCCAGTCTCCAGATGCAGGAGATTCAAAGAGTTTATGGGAAGATGCCATTATCTTTCAATTCCATTTATCCATGAACCTTTTGAAGCACCTTTGCATACAAGTCTAGCCAACCCAGAAACATGCTGACAAGCCTTGAAATATGTATATATATACATATATATACCCGTATATATACATTTTTTTTTTTTTTTTTAAGAAGCCATCCAGTTTCTAATGGTTTATAAATTCCGAGCATTGGGTTCTTCCTGAAAAAGAATATGTTTGAGATCATGCTGAAGATGATCCACCAGGTTGGAAGGCACTCGAAATACACAGCGGACTGGAGCTACCAACAATAAGGAATATGGCAAAAGGCAAGCAACATTTTGTTCTGTTGTACACGAGGTGACCCCGTGTGTGCAAAGCAGAGCTGTGTGTCGTAGGGTTTCAAGGCTGCCACCATTTGAAAGCAGATGGCCAGGCCAATCTTCTGAGGTGCTTTGGGGTGGGTGTGAACCACCAACTATTCAACTGATAGTCTACTTAACCATATGCACTACCACCCCAGGGTTCCTAACACTGTGGAGAAGACCCCAGTCTGAGTCTCCTCAAACCAATGATCATCAAGTGCAAATCTGGAGCTACACATAATGGGGAACATTTAGTAGTACTTAGGAAAATGTGATTCCTAATGTTAGGCAAGCTGAATGATACATTCAGATTCAAAGCCACAAATGAAACCCTCTGGCATGTCTTTTGGTTTGATGGTCGAGGATAGATGTGGAAATACCTTGGCTACCGGTTTCAGTGGCATCACTTTGCTAACAAGTCAATCTAGGGTAATGTTCACACAGCCCGAGTATTTGTAAGAAATGACTGTTGTAGGAAGATTAGGATTCTGCTAAACTGTTCCTTAGGCAATACACTGCTGTTGTTAGGTGTAGTCCGTTCTGACTCACTGTGACCTTATGCACAACAGAATGAAACACTGTGTAGTCCTGCACCAGCCCTCACAATTATTGTTAAACTTGAGCCCATTGTCTGCCATGATGCCAGTCCATCTCACTGCGTGTCTCCCTCGTTTTCTCTGACCCTCTACTTTGACAATCATGATGTCAATATACTGATATACAAATATACCAATGTATACCAAATACGGGTTCTGATGTAGGATAAGCACTGTAGGATAAGCACCAGATTCGTAACCACAAGGTCAGCAGTTTAAACCCACTAGCCACTTCTTGGAAACCCTATATAGGGTTGATATGAATAGGAGCCAACTTGATGGCACTCAACAACAACAACAACAACATAACAAATATACAATATATCAGTTTGTGTCCTGGAATGAGGGAAACGCCTTTTATTTCTCTCACAGAAAGCAGGGGATCGTGCTGTTAATCCAATCTCAGAACGTTCATTCGGAATGTCAAGATTGCAGGACTGCAAGGTCAGTTTGAATCACAAGGTTGGCAGTTCTAGCTCACCAGCTGCCTCTTGGAAACCTTATACAGGATAGCTATGAGTCAGAACTGACTCAATGGCACTTAACAACAACAACAAGGCAGTTGCAACATGCCCACTTCTGGCCAAGGTAAGAAAATATTACTCTGCAAATAAAACACAGGTGACGGATATGCCCAGAACCCCCCAAAATATCTACCTGTAGCTGGTCCCGGGGTACATTTAATCCCGTTTCATAAAAGACGGTGAGGTAATAGGATGCTTTATGGTATCCACAGCAGCTGGAATCCATCAGAAAGGGAACGACAGAGCTAATTTGGTGAAGCCCCTCAATGCTGGCAAGTCTCTTTACAGCCTTCTCAAATATCCTCCCACCGATTTCTACTATGAATTCATTCGAGTTTCTTGGCACTGTAAATAACACAATTCAGAGCACATAGAATTAATTACCATGGGATCGACGCGGCTTAAGGAAGAAGAGGGAAAAGCCAATTAAACCACCTGAGTTATTGATATGGCTGGGCCTTGCAGTGCTGTGAGATATACCACCTTCCGGGGAGATAAATGAAACCCTTTGGGGATGCCATGGTGTCATTCTGTAAATAGCTTTTTCTTTGTCATTAAATGACAGCCTACTGTCCAGGGAAAACGGATGTGCCTTATATAGTCGACAGAGCGCCTCCAGGGAGTAATTTACTGAGAAACTCACTACCGAATCGGGACCACTGAAACTTCCAGAGAGGTTTTATTGGTTTCCTCTAGGACTCTCTGGATGTGTTTTCTCTCCGAAATAGTTCCTAGGTGCTGCCTCTAAAAGTTAAGCAAAAGGACTTTATTTTGGGATGCTATCTTGTTATCTGTTGCCCCTCGTTTTTCCCGTGGATGTCTCCACACAATAAAAAGTACAGCAGAGCCGACTTCTAATGGGGGTTACCAGAACTACTTACCATCAACTTGACTCCAGTTCACTGTGAGTCAGAGTCAAATTATGCCTCATGGGGCTTACAACATGCCACAGACTGAGTTAAACATCTTATGTAGATGAAGTCATTTAATTTGCATCATGTTAAGACACAGGTACTGATATCATCATCCTTGTTTATCAGATGCACGGAGTCCTGGTGAGGCACGTTAGTGTGACTGCAAGGTTGGTTTGAGCCACAAGGTTGGAGGTTCAAGCTCATCAGGCACTCCTTGGAAACTCTATACAGGGCCGCTGTGGGTTGGAACCAACTCAACCGCACTTAACAAAAACAATATTATTTATCAGATGTGGCACTGAAGGAACCACAAGGCTGGAGATTCAAGCTCACCAGCTGCTCCTTGGAAACCCTATACAGGGTCGCTATGGGTCGGAACCGACTCGATGGCACTTAGCAACCATAACAACATTTATCAGATGAGGAAGTTGAGGCTTAAGAAATGTCAAATAACTTGTGTAGGGTTAAGAAACCTTGAGCCCGGTTTTAAAAATCACCCTATTACATTTACATCCTAATAAACTAACAACCAATTTCCCTAGTAAGCAACTTCTTGTTGTTGTTCAGTGTAAAATCGATTCCAACCCTGTAGAGGGTTTCCAAGGAGCATGTGGTGAGCTTGAACCACCAACCTTGCAGTTCAAATGACTTTGCAGTCTGACGCATTAGCCCACAGCACCATACTGGGACCTCAGTAAGCAACTTACTACCAAGGAATTGAGCGCTAGTGTGGTATTGGAGGATGAAGAACCTTCTCCATTGTATTCAATGGACTGCTTGCTAATCACAAGGTCAGCAGTTCAAACCCACCAGTCACTCTCAGAAACTCTATGAGGGTCACTATGAAGCAGAACTGACTCGATGGCACTTAACAACGATGACCATGGACAGAAACCGGTATGTCCAACCACTATTGAGCTGTTGGACGAGGGTGCTGATGGAGGTTCTGTTGTGGATAGGCGTGATACGAGTCAGAACCCACTAGATGACATCTGATAGCAACAATTAACCCATAGACTGATAAACATTTAAGTCCAGAACAACACGTTATACAGCCCTATCACATGAGTGTCACAGTCTTTTAAAATCTTATTTTGTCTGCATTATTCGTTGCTGTTGTTACTAGTTGCCGTCAAGTTGGAACCGATTCATGGTGACCTTATGGACAACTGAGCGAAACACTGCCCAGGTCTGAGTCCACCTCACAATCCTTGCTATGCTTGAGACCATTGCTGCTGCCACTGTGCCAATCCGTTTCTTTGGGGGTCTTCCTTTTTGTTGCTGACCCTCCACTTTACCAAGTATGATATCCTTCTCCAGGGACTGGTCCCCCCTCATAATATGTCCTAACTATGAAAGACAAAGTCTAGCCATCCTGGCTTCTAAGGGATATTCTTAGATGTACTTCTACTACAGACTGGTTTGTTCTTTTGGCAGTCCATGGTACTTTTGATATTCTCTTCCAACGCCATAATTTGTTGTTGTTGTCAGGTGCTATCGAGTCGGAACTGACTCATAGCGACCCCATGCACAACACAACGAAACAATGTCTAATCCTGGGCCAACCTCACTACCGCCGCCACACTTGTCGCCACCTGGCTAATCCATCTCGTTAGAGGTCTTCCTCTTTTTCTCTGACCCTCCACCTTACCTAGCATGACATCCTTCTCCAGCGACTGTTCTCTCCGGACAATGTGTCCAAAGTATGAGAGACGAAGCCTAGCCATCTTGGCTTCCAAGGAGCACTCTGGTTGCACTTCTTCCAAAACAGATCTATTGGTTCTTTTGGCAGCCCATGGCACTTTCAGTATTCTCCTCCAACACCACAACTCAAAGGCATCAATTCTTCTACGATCTTCCTTATTCACTGTCCAGCTTTCGCATCTATATGAGGCTATTGAAAATACCATGGCTTGGGTCAGGCGCACCTTAGTCCTCAAACTGATATCTCTGCTCTTCAATACTTTAAAAAGTTCCTGTGCAGCAGATTTGCCCAAATCAAGATCGTCTGATCTCTTGACTGTGGCTTCCGCGAGTATTGATAGTTGATCCAAGAAGAATGAAGTCCTTGACAACCTCAATCTCTTCTCCATTGATAAGAATGTTGTTTATTGGTCCAGTGGTGAGGATTTTTGTTTTCTTTACATTGAGTTGTAATCCATAGTGAAGTCTGTGCTCTTTGATCTTCATCAGTAAATATTTTAAGTCCTCTTCACTTTCAGCAAGCAAGGTTGTATCATCTGCATATCTCAGGTTGTTAATAAGTCTTCCTCCAATCCTGACGCCAAGTTTTCCTTCATAGAACCCAGCTTCTCATATTGTTTGCTCAGCATACATATCGAACAAGAATGGTGAAAGAACACAACCCTGTCGCACACCTTTCCCAATTTTATAACATTCAGTGTTTCCATGCTCTGTTCGAACAACTGTCTCTTGGTCCAGGTACAGATTTCTCAGAAGTACAATTAAGTGTTCTGGAATACTCATACTTCTCAATGTTGTCCATAGCTTGTCATGATCCACACAATCGAAAGCCTTCGCATAGTCAATAAAGCATAGGTAAACATCTTTCTGATATTCTCTGCTTTCAGCCAAGATCCATTGGACATCAGCAATGATATCTCTTGTTTCATGCCATAACTAAAATACATTAATTCTTCTACAGTATTCTTTACTCATTGTCCAACTTTCACATGCATTTGAGGTTACGGAGAATACCATGGCTTGGGTAAGGCACAACTTACTTCCCAAACTGACATCTTTGCTCTTGAATACTTTAAAAAGGTCTTGTGCAGTGTATTTGCCTAATGCAATACACATCATTTGATTTCTTGACTGTTGCTTCCATGAGTGTTGATGGGTAATCAGAGCAAAAGGAAGTTTTTGAAAATTTCAATCTTTTCTCCATTTATATGGATGTTGTTTATTGGTCTAGTGATGAGGAATTTTGTTTTCCTTACATCGAGGCATAGTCCACACTGAAGGCTGTGGTCTTTGATCTTCATCAGTAAACATTTTAAGTCCTCTTCGCTTTCAGCAAGCAAGGTTGTATCATGTGCATATCACAAGTTGTTAATGAGTCTTCCTTCAATCCTGATGCCATGTTCTTCATATAATTCAGCTATTGAATTATTTTCTCAGCCTATAGATTGAATAAATATGGTGAAAGAATACAACCATGGTGCACTTTTCCTAATTTTAAACCATTCAGTGTTCCCTTGTTTTGTTTGAACAACTGCCTATGTATAGGTTCCTCATGAGCACAATTAAGTGTTCCAGAATACTCAGTCTCTTCAATTTGTCCATAGCTTGTCAAGATCCAAACACTTGAAAGTCTTTACATAGTCAATAAAGCACAGATATTCTGTTTTTAGCCAAGATCCTTCTGACGTCAGGAATGATATCCCTAGTTCCACGTCCTCGTCTGAATCTGGCTTGAACCTCAATGCCAATGTACTGTTGCAGCCATTTTTTAATTATCTTAGCAACATTTTACTTGCCCGCAATATTATTGAAATTGTCAGATGATTTCCACATTCCACTGGGTCACCTCTCTTTGGAATGTGCACAAATGTGAGGTCTTCCAATCAGTTGGCCAGGTAGCTGGATTCTAAATTTCTTGGCATAGATGAGTGAGTGCCTTCAGTGTCACACTGGTTTGTTGAAAGAATTCCATTTGTATTCAATTGCCAGAGCCTTGTTCTTTGCCAATGCCTTCAGGGCATCGACCCTTTCTCTTTGGTACAGTGACTCTGTATTCCTTCCATCGTCTTGTGATGCTTTCTGCATCATTCAATATTTTGCCCATAGAATGCTTCCATATGTCAAGTTGAGGCTTGAATTATTTCTTCAGTTCCCTCAGTTTGAGAAATGCTGAGCGTGTTCTTCCTTTTTGGTTTTCTTCCTACAGGTCTTTGCACATTTCATTGTAATACTTAATTTTGTCTTCTCGAGCTGTGTTTTTTGAAATTTTCTATTCAGCACTTTCACCTACCACATTGTTCTTATTTACTAATTTAGTCAATGAACGTTTACATTCTGTTATGTACAAGACACTATTTCAGATGATACCTTGCAAAAGGCCATATAAAATGACACAGGTATTATTTACGCATTAAGGAGATACATACAGTCAACTTATCCAAACCAAAAATCGATCTGCTTACAAACTGTTAAATGCAGCATTTTTTTCCTTTTCTTCATTTCACAAAATTAAAAATACTACTAAAAACTTCTAGAGACTCACTGTTACCAGTCGCAAGCAAAGAATGATCAGAGAAGAATTTTCAATATGGCAGAACTTGGAGGGGAAGAATTGGGTAGTTCTATCTTATGGTTAAACTGCTTCCCCTGTAGCAATATAGGTTGATGTCCTTGTTGTTTTTATTGTTGCGTGTTATCAAGTTGGTGCTGACTCATAGCAACACTGAA